AATATATATATATAGGCTATTTGATCAGAAAAATTAAGTATAAATAAAAATTAAAAAAAATTAAAAGTTAACTATTTGATCAATATGAAAATTACTATAATGTAGACTTTTAAAGTTTCTAAAATACATCCTCTAATTTTTTCAATTACATTTTGATTATTTTTTATCCTTACAAATTTTCAAATAAATCACAAGAGCAAAGCATTCTTGGTAAAATATATGGATGTAAAATAGCTGAGCTTGAGCCACTCTAGACATGAGCTTAATTAATTAATCGACTTCAAGCTCGAGCTTAAATATATAAATTTAAGCCAACTCGAATTTATTATAAAAAAAGAGCAATATATATTAATTTATGTTAGTATTATAAGTAGATGACAAATAGAACAATTATTAAATAAATAATAGGAAATCACTTGATCTGAAATATTAAATATTATTCTTAAAATATTTTTAATAATTATTAAGATTTAATATATTTTGAGATTTAAAGTTCAATTCACAAGCCACTTATCGTATTGAGATCTAGCTGGCTCCCTAGCCAATGAGCCAGCTCGCTCGCTTACACCCTTAGCTACAATCACCTCTAATGACCTCCACGTACAGCCACCCACTTTCCACCTACCACCATTCATCACCACCTTATCAATATCGCTTAACTTTATTTTCAATTTCATTTTTGCTTGAAATCCAAAACACAAAAACTAATCTTTTGTATTAGTTTTGCAATAAAAGAACAGTTTTGATTACTTCAAATATCAAATATACCACATTTATTTCATGTTGCAATCCTCTTTCACTCAAATAAACAGTCGCATATAATATTTTAAATTTTAAAAAATATAAATTTATAGAACATTTTTTCATCATATAAAAATTTAGAGACATACCCCTTGAGCCTAATTATGACAGATTATTATTGAAATACTTAAAATTTGTGCAATTAAAAAAGGGCTAATAAGCTAAATTAAAACTCTCAATTATTTACATGAAATTATTTTAATTCTAGAGTTTATAAAAGTACCCAAATAATTCCTACTCTTTAAATTATGGCTGAAACAATCCACATGAAAAAATATTAAAGATCAATGTTCAAATAATTAAAAATTATTTTGACACTTCTATAAATTCTGAGACTATTTTTTTACTAAAAAGAGAAGAAAATCTCACTAAAGCTTTCGTTTTATTAGTATTTTAGGTTTAATGATTTCTAAAAATGTGTTTGTAACTTGATAATTTTGATAGAACATTGATTTGTTACTAATACGAAACAATCACCTTCCTCTTCATCAAAATAAAGACTTCAAAGTCTACCTCACATTTTTTGCAATTAAAAAAAAAAAATAAAAGCATGTCATTATATAAGGAATGTGATTAAGGCCTATTTGGTGCTATTGCTATTTTATATAAAAAATTGTATCAATAACAAAATATGTACACCCACAAGGACAAATGTATAAATAGCACAAATAAATATAAATCATTTATGAGCATTTTCCCTTAAATTAATAAATTAAACAATAGAATTAAAGCTCAAAGCAAACATAATATATGGAATGCTACAAATTGAGTGTCAAAAGACTATTTTTATAAGTTAAAAAAGTGAAAAGAAAATACTTGCTGCAATTTCAAAACTTATATAAGCCCCTCCTCTCAGTTTCCTGTGTTCCTAAAAAGAAAAGGGGCATTTACATACATACCCACCCAATTCCAATGTATTTACACAAGTACCATCAATTTTTTTTTTTTTTTTTTTACATTTATACCAGCCAAATTTTTCATATGGGCATTTACATACATACCCACCCAATTCCTATGTATTTACACAAGTACCATCAAAAAAAAAAATTTTTTTTTTACATTTATATCAGCCAAATTCTTCATACCACATAAAGAAAATGACAGCATTTAACTTTGAAGTGAAATGCACCTTTTCATCCAAAGGTAATGTGGTAAGCATGCAAAAACTGAAGTTTAGGTGTTAGATATGTAAATACATAGTAATACAATAATATGTATTTAAATCTTCAAAAAGAAAAAGAATGGTGCAAAAGTATGGCATGTAAATCTATGTTATCTACAATGGAATTCAAGTTCTCCAAAAGAATCTTCTGAATAGAACATGCAAAATTCATCTTTGTTCATCTAAAAAATAACATTTTGCGCATGGAACAGCATTCATTTATCAAGTTGCAAATCTCACTCTGCAATTGTTCTTATCATCATTTATCAGCTCGGGCGTGCACGGTTTTCTAAGGCAAGGCTTGGCATTCAAGGAAGCATTGCCGCAATCATTTCTACAAATTTCATATTTATAGAACCAAAAGCGCACATTAGCTTTACCAAATATTCTCTTCTTTGTAACATAGTTATAAGCCACAACTGCATCAGCCTGGTGCAGAAAAACTACCTGACCAACTCCGGTGTAGAAGAAAACCTTTGTTCTAGTGTGATCCAATGGCCCGAAAACACTGAACTTCTTCTCAAGTTCTTCTTTCGAGGGCAGACTATAATCCTTTGGGAACTTCATATTCAACAAAACCGACACTGACGAATCTATGCGGTTTTTACGATCCAAAGGCTTCGATCTGTTGTTCCTCATCAATGGTGAAATATAAAAAGCTTTGGGGTTTGACTCAAAATGGTGATTTCGAGGTCTATTTCTATAACAAATCTTAGAGACATGCCCGGAATATTTCAAAAAAGGTTGGTTTTGAACAAAAAGAGCTCTATCAATCACATTATGGACATTAACAGATGATGCAAAGGTTTCAGTGCATGGAAGTGACATTTGGGTAGATTTGTAATTTTTAGATGTAGTGAGTTCATAAAGCTTTCTTTTATTGGGAGAAATCTGCAGAGAAGTTTCGGCAAAAGGAGCCATCTCAGGAATCAAAGCAATACTTTGAGCAGTATTAGTGGGGTTAAAGCATTTCAAAGCATTGAAGGGAGAATATATACTGCATTTGTTGATAGGAAGGTTGTGCAATCGCCCAGTATACAATGGCACGGTCCGTAGCAATGTGCTTTCCGATGAAGATAGAACCTGAACTGAGTCGCATGAATCACCGCGAGCAGGAACACGAATGTTTCGGTCTCGCGTTAAATTTTCTAGGTTTGGCGCTATAGATCGAACAAAACTAACCTACCTGGAGACTATGATTAGGGCAAGTCTGAGGCGAAGACATACCGAGTTCGCTATTCGAAGAAGTTGCTGATGCGCCTTCTGTGCATGAAAGCAAGATACTCGCATCACTTGTATTTTCGTGTAAAGCTGTATGTGTTGACTCAGTCGCATTGGTGTCCGACTGATGCTGATCATAGATCGGAGATTCAAACTTCTCATCTGTATCAAACATACATAAATCTACCATGTTTAACACACACATCTCGCTGCCCTCGTGCATATTCAAGTCTAACAACTGGTATTCCTCTTGTGGTTTAATGGAAACATCAAACTTTTGATCCATAGTCCTTCTGTGATATAGCTCATCCTCGGATGTGAAGTCCGGTAGTTCGAGATCAACTAATACATCAAATGTGAGTGAGCGAAAAACGTGCAGTAGCTTTAAAGGTATTGCAGTGCATACAATAAGAGAAATGTTATGTGACGAGAAATGTTGAAACGAGAAAATTTGAATGATGGAGTGAATGCTAATTTTCAAAATGAATGCATGTTATCCCTTGAAGCAACCATGCGATAAAATGGGATCAATAAAAAGGAGTTACAATAAGATTTATCTTTAAGGTTATAGCGGCTCACTAAAGAAAGCAAATATAGCTGGAAAAGTTTGGGGAAGAAGCGTAAGATTGTCTCGACATCATCACTAACAAAGTAACAACTTTATCAGTCATCAAATTTTATTTGTTCTTATTAAGTCATGCTTGAGGTGTTGAATATATTCATAGAAACCAATTTGAAAAACTTTTATCCATATAATCATAGCTCTACCTGTTATCCATCCTAATTATTTGATGATAATTTTATCTACCTGTCTAATGAGGGTATTAAATATTCTTCGCTGCACTGCACATATCCAAACCATCTAACATTATTTCAACAACCATATCTTCAATAAATTTCACAGAAAATATAACCATTCCCTAATTTATCTGTCCTAGTCTTGCAACATGCATCATAATATTCTCAAATTGGTTGAGGTGAACTTAGCTATTAACGACTTTTTAATGGGCCAACACCGGATTCACATTGCATAACCAACCTACTAGAAGTAAAAAATTCATGTCTAAACCACTATGTTATTATGCAATAACGCTCCTTAAACACTTATGCTTTTTAATCATCAAACCCAAAATCCAAAAATAATATCATTTAAATCCAAAATTCTGTATGTATAATAGATCAAAATGGATTTATTAAAGGCACTAGATACAGCCACAAGGTAGACCATCCAATGCTAGGTGCTAGATTGAACAAAGTGAGGAGCTAAAAGCTTTCATCAAATTTAAATATGAGGAAAACTTTTTAGACAATGTAATATAAAAATCACCACAATGAAATAGAAAATAAAATAGGAAAAAAGATACATTTCCAAGTTGTCGTTCCAAATTCCAAAACGATAATATTAGGAAATAAATTGTAAAAATAAAGCGTCAGCAAGGTTCAAAAGTCATATTTCAAGTATAAACAAATGATTAAAAACATAAGTTGATAACTTTCATAGATAAATGAAATATTTGTTAATTCTATTACATATTCTTTACACGCATGTCAATGACAAAATATAATGCATGTTATAGCTCATAGTGCAGCATAACAGAACTCGTGTTAATGCATTGCAAGGCGTAGCGCACACAGCAAATGGTGGTGCACTTTTTTGTTTTTTTTTTTTTTTTTTTTTTTTTTTTTTTTTGGCTGATTGATTTATTAAAATTATTCCAACGAATAAAAAAACTTTACTCAAGTTTAGATAAAGCATAATGAGGCTTTTGATTATATACAGTTCAGCTCTCAGCAAACATGTTTTTACTATTATCCAGTTGAAGAAACATGATGATTCTGTACGTAGCAAAAAAAAAAGCAAAAAAAAAGCAAAAAACAAAATCATTACCTACCTTAACATCAAAGGTTTTACCTTGCAACTCTCAAGTGCTGGATGATAGACTATAAGAAAAAGCTTACATAAAGAATAAACAACCATTTTTTGTCATTTTTAGATAAGAAACAAGACTATACCATACTGTTGATGTACTAATTAAGTATGTCTCTTACCTTAAGTTGAGCTTATTAAATGTTTTTTTTTCCAATTTCTATCTTTTATTAAGAAAAATGTAAATACTATTTCTCATATGACACTTTCCTTATACTATAATCACAATCCTTGCACATTTTTTTCTCTTTCCAAGTCATCTAAATATCCATTAATGTTTCAAAGTTTTCCTTCTAATTTAAATGGTTTGTCTATTCTTACCTGATCTTATTTAACTTTTTGGCATGTGGACATGGGAACATGGGAACATGAGCACCTAATAAATACTTTTAAAAGTATAAAAATAATCAGAAGAGATAGATAAACTATAACATTACTTTCAAGGATTAGCACAAATCGGACTTAAATTTTAATTCTTTATGGTTGCTAAAGGGCTATAGTATCTACTCCCCTTGCCCTTTTTACACTATTCATGTTTTACCTTTAGTTGTTTATATTTCATTTCTTAATGAAACAAAACTTCGGGCTTGGCTTGGATAAAGGATAATTTCTGAAGGCCAAGTCATCAATCAAAGATGCTTAATATAAGATTGGCATTATATCAAGTTTTGGACTAATTTATCAAGATTAAAAATCGTACTTAGTCTTCTCCATTTCAAATTGATTGAATATATTTCCTAGTCTTGTTGCTTCATCTCTATATCCCCACATCTCCATTAACAATGACATGAGTTCCTATGATACCATTCAAAAGTTTTTACTAATTTATGTTATATTTATTTGATATTAATAAGAATTCTTTTGAATTTGATTTGATATTCATAAATTTTTAATATTTCAAATAATTTTTAAAAAAACATGTGCTGCGCTATACATTACAGCTTCATAGGATCTTAGTATTATAGTGTGTTTATTCAGTAGTGACATCTATGCTCATACCCTCTTCTCCATAATGGAACTTACAGCTCTCTATCTAATAATTGAGGATGCATGCATTAAAAAATAATAAAACTATTTGCATCATAGGGCAAGCGATTGGGCGCCTGGCCCCTTACACATTAGTGCTCACCTAGCAAGCCTTAGTAATGGGACCCACTTGGTAGATGTTTGAAGATTTCGAGCCTCACCTCACCTCGCTTAGGCACGCTTTAGATGATATTGGATCAAATATATTTAAAACATCACTTTATCTTCTAATAATATTGACTACTAATTGTTAATACAAACCCCACTAAAATTGGACATCATTGATCATATATAAAACCTCTATTCTACTAACCTTAAGTCATCTATATTCTAAATTAGTTTTACTTCACATTTTCTTAACATAAAAATTTAAGGTAGGCCAAATAGGCGCCATCAATATCATCTCAACTAGATTGTGACTGGCATTCATATTACTGCAACATAATATAGCAATGAACCAAAAAAATCTATTTTTTATCCACATGAGTTCGCCATCTTTATAATATCAGCCGCTTAATTCAGTTGGTAATCACAAAACATTTTAATTTTGATCTATCTAGTAAAAGAAAATAAGACTGTATAGTTCCTTTGACTTTTCCAGAGAGAAAAATAGGCTTCTACAGTATAGTAGCCTTAAATTATTTATACAGTGAAACACCCACAAATATTATCACGCCAATAAGACAATAACAAACTGAAAAGTGATAGAAGTTGAATGTGCCGCCCAATACAACTGCTAATGATTCTTTTATGTAAAGAGAAATGAGATGGGAAGTTATTCCTAGAATTATTAGTGAAAAGCAGGAAAATAATAAGGGAATTTTACATACATATCACACAATTCTTATGTATTTGCATACCTAACAACTAAAATTTATTTTTAAACTTATAACAGTTTGATGCCATAAACAATCGAATGAAAAGGTGCATTACAACAACAACAACAACAAAGCCTTAATCCCACTACGTGGGGATTAAGGCTTCCACTTTTAAAAATTTAATAATGGTGTATTTTTTTATATGATGTTAATTTTTTTAGTGCTATGCATGTAAATATAAAAGTATTGGAGTTAGACATGTAAATACATAAGAATTATGTGGTACTTTTGTAAATGCATGCATTAATCATTCCTTACACAAGGCAAAGAGCAAACAACATACATAAGGGCAGAGTAGTGTATTAACAAGACAACTAAAATATAAAAATAAATGATACAGACCAAAAGAAAACCCAAACATGCATTGACCTTAGGATTCATTATATACAATTTTTCTAATAAGAACAAATCAACCTAACATGTTCTACAACAACAACAACAACAACAACAAATACCTAACATGTTCATAAATAAAATAAAATAAAATAAAATAAAAAATAAAGAATTTTCCTACATTACCATAAGCTCTAAAAAAACTGCAACAATGTGCTTCAAAATCTTTATTGATAGGGCTTTAAGCTCCACCTGAGCTGCACTTGTTTTTTTTTATTGAAAATGGCGCTTCAATGAAAGTTTAAGGAACTTCCATTGCAAACTCGTAGAATGGAAATAAAACGAGGGCAAGCAAAAAATTAGGTGCATAATAACAAGTAGAAATACTTCAAATGGACTTTCTATGTGCTTGTACATTGACATAGATTTACAGTTTTCTAGTCAGCAGGAGGGTATTTCTACGTTTCTAATACTAAAGAATAATACAACAACAATAAGCCTTTATCCACTAATCGGGGTTGGCTACATGAATCTTTTTTCTCCATTATCTCCTATTGAGTGTCATATGTTCATCTAATTCAAATAAATTAAGATCATTTCTTTATACAACAAACCCAAGTCTTTTAGTTCTACTTCTACCTCTCTTAACATAAATCAGATATAAAGCATCGACTCTCCTAACCGAATCATCAGAAGGTCAGCGCTTAATGTGACCAAACCATCTAAGACGACTCTCTCTAATCTTGCCTACCACTGGAGCTACACCAACCCTTCCACGGATATATCTGTTTCGCATTTAGTCTCAAAGAGTCAAGTCACTCATTCACCTAAGCATTCTCATCTCAGCAACATTCAACTTAGTTATATGCTTCTCTTTTATAAGCCAACATTCTGTGTATAATGCATTGCAGGTCTCACTACCATCTTATAAAATTTTCCATTAAGTCAAAGCGGTACTTTTCTATCACACAATAGGCCCGATGCATTCCTCCATTTCAACCATCCAACTTGAATTCTACTAATAAAATCCCCATCTATATCAGCCTAAAAACTAATAATACAATATAAATGGATAAACTTACATATTAAAATTCACTATATTGTGTGCCTTAAATGATTTGGAGTTATACTTCAAGAATCAAACCAATAATGTTAGAGAATTTTCCATATGTAACACAAAATTCTTAAACACAGAATTCTTATACAAATCTCACACCAAAATTTTCATATTTACATACATAGCACTTTGGTGCTTTAAACTTGTGCATGAAAAGGTGTATTTCAATTATGGGTGTAAACGAGTCGAGTCGAGCTCGAGCCATGCCCTTATCGAGCTTGGCTTGTTTACCAAATTGTGAGCTCAACTTGGGAGACGAGCTTGAATGGCGAGCTCGAATCGAGCTTGAATGGCAAGCTCGAGCTCGGCTCATAAAAGTAGCAAAGGGCTAGCGAGCTCTAACTAAAAATACAATTTTTACGGAAGATGACCGGAAAAGGTATTGGTGGTTGGAGGAGGATGCAGCGAAGCTCACCAAAAATGTATTGAAATTACTAATGATAGGCTAATCGAGCCAGCTCACGAGCCAACGAGTTGAGCTAGGACAAGCTCAGCTCGTGGCTCGATAAGCTTGGCTCGCCACCTTGTTAACAAGATGAGCTCGAGCCAGCTTGGCTCATTTACACCCCAAATTCCAAGGAAGACATTGATAAACTATAATCAGTTGTTCTAACTACACAGAAGCATCACAAGTGCAATAATAAAAAATCATAAACAATTAAACATTGTACAGAAAACTCTACAGGGCATCTTAAAGAAGAAAAGACTGAAAATGGAGATATCCATCATACCTTCAATCTCATGACTATCTAAACTATCCTCCTCGAACTCCCAATCTGGCTGATAAAACCAAGACGGCTTCACCGAAACAAATTTTCGAAAAGCAAGCAGCTGAGCCACAGCCTTACCATCAACACACAGATTAACAGCCATATCATGAACAAAATTCAAAACAGCTTCTGTGCAAAACCCTTCATCTACTTCACTCGTATTGCACACTACCAAAGCACAACGAAAGGAATTTAAAGCAGCCGAAACCCTAACCACAGTCGCGAACTCCTCCCCAACAACTCGCGGCGAAACAGCCTTATCAAGCAGGAAACGTTGGATCTCCTCTGGATTGAATCCCTTCTTCACAGCCAATGATCCATCTTTATCTACAGCAGAAACTCTACAGCAACACTTCAAACCCACCGCAATGCTCCCCGCCAGCTCATCCAGTGCAAGACCGATCTCATTAGATAACTTCATTCCCACCATTTTTATCATTCGAGGATAAGCCTCTTCGAATCGAAGGATGTCGGACGAGCTGAAGCAGCGGGTTTTATTGCAGCCGAAGAAGGATACCGACATAAGGGGTCCCTTACAGCTCTCGATTTGGCCGGGCCACCATGTTAGAGGGTAAGCCATTGCCCATACGAAGTCCCCAATCACTACACTTCGGAGGGGTGAGCGCTTCCTTCTTTTGGCTGACTTACATTTCATGGAACGCCGACGCTCGGCCGAAGAAGGGTGGACCGAGTGGCCGTCGATGGGAGAAGCGCCATGAAGAAGGGATTTGAAGAGATCCGCTAGGGTCAAGGAATCTCCCTCGTCCATTCGGTTCGTTCGAGGAAGAAACCCTAAAGGGCGGGAGGGACTGCTACGGCGGCAGCGGCATTAGAATCGGAATGCGCCTTTATAAAGGGAACATTTACAAACATTTTATAATTTTACCATATTGCCATATTTTATAATTTATATTATTGATTAAGCTTTTATATTTTATTTAAATATTAAATGAATAGTAAGCTCTGTGAAGTTATTTCAAATGGTATTTGGACTTTAACTTGGGTTATTAATACTCCTCTTCAATGTATTCAAGCATTTTATAATATTCATATTATTAATGATATTAGTTGCCGTTGGAATAATAGGAGTCATTACTCACATAAATCTGTTTATTTTCGTTTGCATGATTATCTGTCTGATTGATACAAGATGGTGTGGTTAAAGTTCAATTAAATTTGTCATTCATGCTTGGAAGATTGTTCAAAATGGCTTCAAGACATGCCGTATTCTCAATTATGAGGCATTAATATTAGTTTTCTATATGTTTTATGTTAAACTGAAACTCGTAATTATTTATTTTTATGCTATTTTTCCCATCATCTTCTTTACAAATCTCAATTATTTGACGTGAATCTTGAGACATGACATGGATCTTGAGATGATTTTTTAAGCAAAAAATATTCAAACATTGATAAAAAGTCATCTAGAACTCTGATTTCAGCAAACTTACAATCAAATTGATCCGTTCAACAAGAAAAACCTAATTTTACCAAAGTTGGTCCAATCCGAACAAATCAAACATGGATCAAGTCATTAAATTTCTTTTGAAAGTTTTCTGTACATATTTGAAAGGTCAAACAAATGCAGATTTTGACGAGTCTACAGTCAAATCGAGCGTCTTGACAAGAAGAATCTAATGAGCCCAAGATCACTCAAGTTTGACATTATTAAAGCATTCAAATGTTTAACAAATATCATCTGATTGAGAAAAGTTTTATGAGTCGTCTGATCATAGTGATTTATATTCTTGCATTAATTGCACTTAATTCTATAAATATAGTCACATCCCATTCTCAAGGGGGATAGGAGAGCTTGAGGGTTTAGAGAAAACTTAATGCCCTGAGAATAAGCTAAAATCCAACACCATCTATGCCACCATCGATCGACGTCGATTGAACATTGTCGACACTAGTCAACCACCATCGACCACCACCGACAGTTGTCAACCATCTTTGACTGTTGCCGACCACCATCTGTCAGTCGCTATCGATCACAATCAGTTGTCACAAGCTCATCAGTACAACGATGTTGTAACTTGGGAAGCTTAGTAACCTTTTATCGTATGTGGAAAAAGTGATTGATATTATAATCATTTTTTTATAGTGAAACAAACTCTTAAATTGGGTCAGGCCCGCATGGTTTTTTCGTTTTTCAGATTTTTCATGTAAAAACATCTTGTGTCATTACTAATTTTATTTTCTCTTCTGAATGTGTGCTGAATCTTCGCACCACGCTAAACCAATAATCTGTCACTATGCTGCCCCAAATTTTCTTGCACGCATCAATGCCAAATGGATACTTCTTCATCAAATAATATCTTTCAAGGGTTTATCATGATACAATTGAACGAAATAACAGGATTTTTATGAGCCATTTTACTCCTATAGTGATTCTTGTTCATACTATTCACTGGTTAATTAAGGAGAATGGTAGAAAGTAGAAGTTTAAGCATCATATTTCTTCTTACTTAGAGAATTTGTATAATCTTTAAGATTTAATTTTTCTCTAGTTTTTCCTTTCAAGTCCTTTTGATTTTCTTCTCTGGTTTTCTTTTGTGTTTTTGTTTCATGACCATTCATTAAGACTAAGATGTTCAATTGCATATTTTAAATTTTATATATATATATATCTATATATATATATATATATATAATGATATTGGATGGAGACTTGATGTTCTTTTTTTCTTTCATATATACATTTATCTTTTTACTTGAATGCATGTCTTCATTGTGCTTTTGAGAGATGTGATCACATTTTGCTTTTATTTATGACTGTGACTTCATTTTGTTAGTTTAAGTTTAGTGTTCTCTGTATTAGAATTACTGATCTATGATAGAGAAGCATCATCTCCATGAATTCTAAAATATTATTAAACGAGCTGCTAATCAATAAGCATGAAAATCTTAACATGAACCAACTTTCTAATCTAGTTGGAGTTGAGCTCGAATAAACTTGATCGTCGACATGATCAGCTCAATCTTAAAAAATATGATGGAGTTTGAGCCGAGTTTGAATAAAGCTTTTTATGAATGAGCCCGAACTCGAGCAAACCCTTGTTTTGCTTTTGTTCATTTGAGCTCCCAATGCCATGCTATTAATTTAAGGCTTTAAGATTCATGTCAAGGGTGAAAAGAATTTTTATTTAGTGGACCCAAAAAAAAAAATGTGTTCTTCATTTCACATATTTAAATCAAATGTTTTAGAACGAATTGCTTATCAATAAATTAAAAAAAAAAAACAATCAACTAATTATGTTAGAGGATGGCGTTAGAAAAAAGATTAATTTTCAAAAGAAGCCGACAATTACATCTATTTAGCTTGAAATTTTGATTAATTTCAGATCATGTAATTTGATTTAAGTTGATTTCCATATCTATTTTAAAGTCAACTTTTAATATGCATTAAGATTACATATATAGCCCTCTTTTCTTATGCATTTACAAATCTAACACCTAAGTGTGTGTGTGTGTGTGTGTGCGCGCGCGCGCGTGCATGCATGCACACGAGCCCGTACTGAGGCCTATTGGTAGAACAATCTCTCTTGAAGGTCGTAAGACCCCTCAGGTAACGGGTTCGCATTCGTTCATGTATAGAATTTTATACTCGAATATTTAACACACCTGAGGATAACTAAGGCTCGACTAATAACCTTTGGCAATTCCTTTTAAGATAATTATGAACCATAATGTCCAATACACTAATAAAATAAGAGCAAATAAATTAATACACATTTATATTTTTTAAGACATCTTCATTTTTTTTATAATGAGTTTAAAATTAATAATATCTTAAGGTTTAAAATAAATTACTAATAAGAATAAATCACATATATTTCATAAATATAATAGCTTCTAAATGAATTATGACAAATAATAAGGATTAAAAAAACTAAATGTTCTCGTCAACTAGCAATTTATATAAAATGCAGGAAGATTTACAGACATTCCACTTAATTCCCATTTATTTATACACCTATAACCTAAACATATATTTACAGGCATACCTCTGAAAAAGCGTATTTTATTTTTAATAATTAAAATGACGATATTTTTTTATGTGAAATGAAATATTTGAATGATATAAATGTAACATGTAAAGTGTAAGTGTTACAAATAGGTAGGAATTGGGTGGTATGTATGTAAATGCCTCAAAAATTTAATTAGATGTTTAGGGAAATTAATTAAAGTGACACTTAGTGTAAGCATTGCCCAAATTTACACATAAAAAACCAAAATTTATTGTAAAGTAAAACAATAAGAAACAACCCGGTTTGATAAGGCGGCCTAAAATGTATGAATGTGTTTGACAAGGAGGCCTAAAATGCTTATCATTGTTTCAGGCCTAAAATGTATGAATGTGTTGACAAGGAGGCCTAAAATGTCACAAAAGAGTAAAAATGAAATTTTACAATAATTTCAAAAATGGAATGCTAGAAGAATCACATCAACACTAAAAACCAAATAGAAAAATAAAATTTATTCCGAAAAAGACATTAAAAATTACAAGAATAAACTCAGAAACTAGCTTGAATGAAATATTTTACAATGGGGTTGGTCGCCGTTTCAGTCTCGGCATACCCCAGCCGAAGCAGCCTCCTATACAAAATCCTTATCGATTGAGCTAAGAAGCTATCGATCTCGTTTAGGAGGCAAGCCACCGATCCGAGAGATGTCAAGCGCCTATTAGTTGCTTTCTCGCGGGTCTTCATATGATCGTTCGGGCAGTCAACCCCGCCATTCTTGCTCGAGAGTCAGCCACCCTCGACTGACGCCTGGGCAGCCGCCGCGGGCATATCACAATCAAATTCTCACCCACATCCGCTGAGGCAAGTCATCATCCAGGGTTAGTGAAGTCGGGTCATCGACAGTCTTGCACAAAGAGATAATGTAAAAAAAAATAAAAAACAAAAAAAAAACTTTCGAAAAAATCAAAATCTAACAAATAAGACACGAGTTCCTAATAACAAAGAGTCACTCTCACAATACGACAACAGAGCACCGACAACTTCTTGTGCGGTTCGTTTGATTTGTGGGTCATGTGCCGCAACAGAAGATTGAGCCGAAGATTTTTGGTCGCCTTGAACATTCCTCCGTTTAGTGCATGGGAAGGAATCATATCCTACATAATCCTCCAACGCAACCATTTTTTTCTTCTTAATAACAATTTTCTTCTTCCTTTCACCTTCTAGGCAGTATCGCTCCATCAGTCCTTTAGCCTCCCGAAGGAAACACGAAGCAAATATTTGTTTGGGGCATCGTCTGAGGAATTTGACACATTCATCATCACAAAACTCAAAAGCCAAACAATTCGAGAGGGATCACAGAGCAAATAAAGAATGAGAAGAGTCCTATTTGGGCTTATTTATAAGAATCAAAGACAAAAATTTAAGAATTTCAATTATTAAATCATATATTAATAATAAATGTGACTTATTCTTGTATTAAATTATCTTATTCTTATTGCAACGTCGCTTTCAAGAAATTAAAGAATCAGGGAACTAAATCTCCCTAAAATGTGTACATAAAAATGTGATAGTATTGATCCTAAGGAGATCTAACGGTACAGAAGAAAAAAGTATGTTGAATGAGGCCCCATCCAGAAAAAAAATCATAAGGGTCAATTGCTCGATCGAATGAAGTTGTAAGAGCAAAAGCAAATAAGACCAAAAGTCAACCACATCACCATACAAATCAAAGATGATCATATGATTCAGGAACGAGCTTCGACCTCACAAGAAAGACCGGAGAATCATTTTATGAAAAAAAACATGACGTATTACCATTCATTATTATTCACTTCTCTCTCTCTCCACCTCTTACACTCTATTTATTGGATGTGACTAATGGACAAGTCCACAAGAAAGACCGGAGAATCATTTTATGAAAAAAACACAACGTATTATCATTCATTATTATTCACTTCTCTCTCTCTCTCCCCCCTCTTACACTCTATTTCTTGGATGTGACAAATGGACAAGTAGGGCCCTCAAAAGTTATAATTAATGTTAATAAAAAACAAAATGCCCTGCATTTAAATAAACTTTTTTAAGATGCTTTGATATGTTTTCTAAAATTTCATATGATTATTAAGAAAAAAATTATAATTAATTTTAATAAATAACAACAACAGTAATACAGGACCAGTTTCTACTTGAACAGAACTCATTGAACTGTAGCTACTTCCGAAATTCCACATCTAAACCTAAAATACTCAACAATCGATTCCCGGTCATCAGACAAAATCATGGGCTGCTGCTATGCAGTATAAATTACAAAAAAAAAAAGGCCGACCAAATATTTAGAATTTAAGAAGCATTAATACTTCGTGTAAAGTTTTTACCACTCGTGGCTGCTGTTGCTGCAAGTTGAAAGAAAACATTGCTCTTCATGCCTATATATCCTCCATCAATCTGCGCCCTTCTTGCTTCTGAAGCTCTCCTTCATCGAAGCAAACTTCTTCTTGCATTGATTCACTGTCTTCCCCGGAACTGCGGTGGCGACCCGTTCCCAACGCTGGCCGGTCTCCTTCGGAAATGTTTTCAGTGCTTGTATGAGAGCTCTTTCTTGCGTTGACGACCATGTATCCTCCATACCTGAAGAAGCTCCATTAGAAACAGGAGATTCTCTGGCTGGCTCGTCGAGATTCGTCTCCTTTGCTGAAGGTTCTCCGGCTACATCGACAGGTAACCCTTCGGATTCTAATCGAGTCGTAAGAGGTGATGAGATTGATGGAGCGGGCTTTCTCTTCTCCAGGAAAGTACCGAATGAATTCGCGGAGTTTGGTTTCTGCAGAAGAACCGTCTTCGTCGCCTTCAGAATCTCTTCGACGGATCTGCCAGTTCCAATGTATTCGGAAATGACCTCCCACCTCCTCGAAGTTCCCTTGGGGTATTTCTGCACCCCCTTTCTCAGCAACTCAAGTTCCTCCTTATCCCATGGTTTTTCCTTCTTCTCGCTGCATAATATGCTTCCAGGCTTGATTTCTCCAGCATCATGAACTGAAGAGCCATTAGTTTGATCATATTTTCGATCTGGCTGTGCGGCATCGGCATTCGCTTTACTCAATGCGCTATTTAACAAATGAGCTCTTTCAACTCCTTCCTTCCGCTCCAAGCTATCGCACAGATTTCGAATCTGATCCATCTCTAGAGACAAGCATAAGCTTTCGACATTTTCTTCGGAAAGATTAAGCAGAGATTTGGAAACCAAAGTTGAAGAAAGACCACGTAACCGATTCCTCTCCTTCCTTAGAAGCTTCTTCTCCTTCTCTTTCTGCTTCTTCTGATTCAAAGCAGCTTCAGCTGCTCTTTTCTCCTCCTCTTCTTTCCAGCGTCTTTCTTCTTCGGCAGCCCTCGCAGCCTCTTCCTCCTGCAATTTCCTCGCCAGCAACTTCGCCTCCTTTTTCCTTTGCTTTTCGATCTTTTCCTCCTCCTTTCTCCGAAGAATTCTAGGGTCCCGCTTATATGCGTTGTCAACCAGAGCCCGAATACGTCCATATTCTTCTTTCTTCGCTTTCTCTCTAAGCTTCGCATTCTGCCTCTCCATCCATCGTTTATGATCACGGGACTCGGCCTGCTCCAGATCGAACTCATCTGCATGAGGGAACTCTCTCCAACTCTTAAAACCATACCAGAAGTTGTAGAAGCTGTCCACTTCAGCCATTACAGTTTTCTCTTCCCCTAAAGAGGGAACAGGCTGAATTACAGACCACCTCGCATTCCTCAAGAATGCTAGGCCGAATACCTTGAAGAAGTCCTGTGGTTCGCATTCGGTGGGAATTTCATCATCGAACTCATCCGTGGAGTCATAGATCCTTCTCTTTATAGGATCTATTAGAATCTCATATGCTTCTTGAACGGATTTGAAATGGTTTTCGATCTCATCCTTCTTCGCTTGTTTGGCGGCGTCTGTTTCTTCGGCCAGAAGAAGAGCAGCCTGCTTATCGGGGTGATATTTCAAGGCAGTCTCGCGGTAACATTTACGTATCTGCTCCTCGGTGGCTAGAAAACGCAAATGCCCTAACCCTAACAGTGCATAATGATCTTGTTGCTTGTCACCGGAACCAGATTTCTTCTTTTTCGCTTTGTTGCTGTAGAAATCTGACGACGGCATATATGATTGATTTCGGTCATCGGACAATACGCTCTGTTCATCTGTGTCTGTTTCGTCTTCTTCATAGTATCCGAGAAGTTTAAGTGCGGCCGAATGAAATGCATGGCCTGCAGGTTCGTATTTTAAGGCTTTGACAGGAAGGCAATTTGATGAGGAAATCATTGGCTCGCCATCTCGAAGCTCTTCTGAATAGGTGATAAGCGGAGGGTTCTTCATGCCATTCATGATGAAGAAGGTAGAAGAGACCATTGTGCTTCTTGGAGACGGGAACTTTTATAAGGAACTTCTGATGCCGAGTTTTCTGTATTAGAAATGCGAATTAATGAACATCAAGGTTCGAAATAAGCACATTTTCACATATAAAACTGTGCACCTAGCAATATGTATTGGAGCAGTGAACGTAGAGCAGAACTTTTGGGAAAATTTTTTGATCTATTTACAATGGATGCCACCCAATTCTTATGTATTTCTTCAAAGAAAAAAAAAATTCTGAGTGGAAATACTTAAATTGCATACCACCCAATTTTTATGTATTTACGTTTCTAAATCTAAAATTTATTTTTTTCTATAATATCAAATATATCATTAATTTAATTTTTATATATTATTTATTTATTTCAAGCGAAAATGAGACAAACTCGATTGAACAAATTCTTGTCCGTGTTCGGCTCGTTTATAAATCAAGTTAAAAAATTTGTCCATGTTCAGCTCGCTTGTTTAATAAACGAATAAACCAATAGAACACAAGCTACTTACCACCTGCTTTTTTGGCAGCCCTATCCATGTTCATTTTTAATCCACTAAAGTTAACTTACTACTAGTCAACCTAGCTAATAAAGCATTCACAGAAATCAGGTTGTTACAATTAACGACAGAAATTCTAAAAGCCATCATGCACACCCAAATGATCGTTCCAAAGGTTCATACATCAGGCTGAAATCAAGCGACTCCTAATTTTCCAGTGTAAAAAATTCAGAAAAAAAATAAAAAAATAATAATAATAAGTGACATAAATTCAAGTTCGTATATGAAAAGCACTTCTATGAATAAAATTATGGCACTCATCCGTAAATTGACTCTCCATGGCCATGGTTCATGAATTAAAAATTTACCCCTTGCAAGCTTCATCAATGAAGGAAATTGTGTTTGCCTTGTATATTATTCTTCGTTTTCTTTCGTGTACTTCTCATTTTCTTATGAAATATGTCTTCTATATGTTCAAGAAATCATTAAATAAAGATTGTCATTTAAAATTATAAATTTAGGAGTCATATTCTTTGTAAAAAGCTTGGTGGCTTTCCTCTCCCCCAATCTATTGGTTAGGATAGGTTCTACTGCTATATTACTATTTCATCCTATTTGTTTGTTGTTTACCCTTCGCTTTCATCTCAGCTTGTATTTTTAATATTCCCCATCAATCCCTTCAACCCTTGCAAGAGAATTATCAATCTTTATAAGCCGTCCTTACATGCCTCAACACCTCTTAACATCTCCATTTCCTTATTTCTACCACCGCACCCCATCCGAAGCTCTACACGTCAACCCTTGAGCTCCAATCTACTTAGATCTCCACACAAACTAACCAAATCCACTTGAAACTTGGCCACTATTGAAAATCAACATTCCCCAAATATCCTTCACTCCAAAACACACCCAATACTTTATACTCCCTTGCGGCAAAAAAAACACCACTCACTGATCCTTCCGCTTCCAAGTCCACTCCCTCTTCTGCATCAATTGGTATCAAAGCTAATATGAACAAGTGTAAGAAGTCGCATCAACAAGGCTATGCCCAATTACTATCATCCTGATAATACTGGTAAAGTTCTCGCTTGTTTTTTTTTTATAATTGATGGTTATTCATAAGTACATACATAACCTTCGACTTTTTTTTATTTGTTATACACATCAAGTGATCTGATAGGTACTTTAATTTCAACGTGAACAATTTAAAATTCATGTCCCATCTTAAGCCTAAAGAAGACTTGAACAGATGAGGAATAACCTATCAAGGAAAGTGCTCTATATTCCAACTCCACCGAAAACCATCTCAGAAATCATATAAAAAACTATAGAAAAAATCATATTAGAAGAAACATCTAATATTCATATCATTAAAAATTTCTTCGCCATCCCTACTCCATATATAGATTCTTCTGACTCTTCTACATACACAATTTTCCAACAAGCTGTAGATGTTCTAAATAATCTTCCCATAATAATAAATATTTGCAAAGAATTTCATGATAATTATCCTGCAAGAGAAAATATTATTTTTTTGCAGGGTAAAGATATCTTACCTCAAGAAAAACATGCACAAGACTCGACTCTTCAAATAAGAGTTGATTTTAAGAGGGGGAGAGTTGATATAGCCGAGAATGTAATAAAAATTAAAAGGAAATACTAGATTGAATGGTTGGTCTCCTTATCTTCAACTTAAATTAATATATAAGGCTCAACATAATTATATTACTTTTATTTCATGTTGTTATTTTATTTTCAATGAATTGTAATTAAAAAGTAATACGGGTGTATTATTGATGTAAATGTGTACATGCAAACTAGTTCATTTTAAGTCTTCTCATATTAGCTCACTGCAAATCAACAAAGCATTCCAAGAAGTTGTCAGAATCGGCCATGAGAAGTCCAAAAAGCCATTCTCCGCATTCAAATGATTAGGGTTTATGCACTGGATTAGATTAAGGTACTCCATTTCCAAAAAGTACATGTTTAAAGAAGATTTCAGCCAAAAGAAACAAGAGTTGAGTTCTGTGAATTCGAACAACTTTTTCAAGCTTTTTTTTTTTTGAAGAAAACCATAGCCCCATCCATGGATTCTCCATATTGAAGATTCAGAATGAAGAATTCAGCCCTCTCCACGGTTCACGCATGAAGGAACATTGAGCCACTTATTTCTTAAATTCTCCCTACCTCTAGGGATTAAATATTTGAAATAAAAATTGGAGAGTAGTCATCTTCAAAAAAAAAAAATAAAAATAAAAAATAAAATAAAAAACTTGGTGACTATTTCCTTGAGATTAGCTTGGTGACTGTACTCTCTCTTCCTTTGTAGAGGTTGGTTTATCTTTTATTATATGACTATCCTACCTTCTTTGTTTATTCTTTTCCATTCATTTTCATCTCCGCTTGTGTTGTAGAGTTTTCTCATTCAAAGCCTTCAATCACCGTAAAAGAATTATCATTTTGTGTGAGCCCTCTTAAAACAATGCAGAATCTATCCTCCTGATGTTCTGAACCATTTACACAAAACAACATCCCTTGGCATTCATTTCTTCCTTTCCACTGCCTCACCACATACTAAGCTCATAGTTGAGCCCTCACCGTATATTAAGCCTCACACAGCAACCCTAAACTACACTCTAATAGACCTTCACACAAGCTATAGCCTAATTGCACTTGAGCCTTCTTACTACAAATCAAAAGTTAACTTATTAACTATCATGCACCCATACCACCCTATCAAAAACATTTTTCTCTACTACTTCCAATTTCCCGCTTCAAAAGCCTAATCACTTGTTTCTGTTGATTCTTGGATTCTATCTCACTAATTTGTATGCAGAGCTTGCAACTATATATGAACTATATATGAAAGTATCTTCTATAGGCTCTGTAAGACATGCTTTGAAGGTTTCCCTGAAATAACATCTATACTTAAGATTTCTTATGCAAATGAAGAAACAAGGCATATACTTGCCGTTAAGAGTTGTTAGAGTGTACATAAGAAAAAAGAGTATCTCTTGATTTTGAATTCTCTAAAGTATTCTTCAAAAATGGAGAATTACGATATTAGCGAGTAAAATTTGTTAAGTTCCTAGCTACCTTCTTGGTAAATGATATATTGGTGTGAGGCAATTATCAAATATTTTAGTGTTTTGGTGGGCTTCTTCTTTGTTGAGTGTGGGTGAATTTAGATTTGGGAAGTAATAGTGAGTGCTCCTTTCATTGTGTACACCACATATATCTCTATTGTGTTTCCAGTTGATCAAATATTTCGCCTCTTCCGCGAACACCATCTTATTTGACAATAAACCACGGAATCTCATTGTCTTGATTCTTTTTCTTCTCATCCTATTTTGTGCTTACTTTGTGTTACGTTGTGCATCATTCATGTTAATGCTTGTGCTATAAGTTAGATGCTTTCATTCCAACAAATTAGTATCATAGTGGGACTATTAGATATGATGAGGACAAAACTTGAGACCAATAAAAGTGGTGGCAATAGGCTTCATAGAACATATATATTTTTTATGATCAATTTTTTGTTTGGATAAAGTCTTCGAAGAAACAAACAAGGAATAATTATGATTCATATTGGAGCGTCTCATTTCAAGGAACCAAAAAAGGTTGACCTTGTGGATGCAAAAAAAAAAAATTTAGGTGTAAATCAAGCACGAGATATAGGAAAAACTTTAGGAAAAATCTGGAAGAGTAGGTTTTCAGTGAAAAATCTATCGCAATGTCCAGTTGTATCACTGCAGCAATCAGGGTGAGT